AGTCATTAGTTTTATTCCCCTTTAGCCTTATTTAACTTCTTTTCTAGTTACAATAAAACCCTGTTTTCCTTGGTTAGTCTTTGTTGCTGCCTAGTGGCCTTTTTCTTTCCCCTTAACACCTTTCTAGCTGCTTCTGCCCACACCTGCTCCCAATTAACTGATTACTGCACTCTTTGTTCTATCTCCCATATATACTCCTCCTCTGCAGTTCCTTAGTGCTGCATTCTCTTCATTTATTCCTGTATGTTTCTCCCAAGCTTCTGTAGATTTTGGTTCCTGAGTTCCCAGGCTGTTATTTCTGGATGTATTTATTTTGTACCATGCACTTCACTATTAAAACAGCAAGAACTATTTCTGCCTCCTCTACTCTGCATTTGCGTTCCTAAAAACAACCACCAAGCCTGACACACAGCAATTAAGAAATAAAATATTATTTTTTAAGATGTTTATATAGAGGCAAACAATTTAAGTTAAAACACTGAATTTCTTTTAGGGATCAATCAAATATTTTTTATTGCATATGATTTTACATAAAGCACTAAATCAAGGAGATAGTCATAATATTTTGTGTCATATTTGTCTGAATGCCATTTTTATCTTGTCCAAAATGCATAATGTGGTGACTAAACCCAAACTGCATTATACTACGTCTGACGTCCTTTCTTAATTTAAAAAAGTTTGAGATTTGTGGAACCCTCTTAAAAATTATAAACAAAAGAGATCACATTCTATACTTTCCCAATAATCCTGCAAAGATCTTCTCTTCTTATTATAATAAGTTAAATGTATTATTCTGTACAATTAGCTGAACATATTCATATCCTATTGCATGCATATTTTTTGATACACTTCTTTTTTGAAATTATTGTAATAAACATTCAAAAATATTTTGTCTTCCCTAATAAAAAATATTGCTGATAGTGTTCAACTGTTGGTTAAGCTAAAAACATTAAAGCTGTATAAAATGAACACATAACCTATATATATTTGCATCTACAGGGCCCTGATTTTTATATAAATGAGGACAATGACACAGAGTTTCATACATAATGCTACACCCACTGCCACACACATGCAAAACTACTTTCAGTTTCTTTCACATTCTTATGTGTGAAAGTGCACACAAACACACACGCAAACACTTGTGGCAAAGCTGATGGTAATTACTGACATAATTAGGCAGACAACCATTCATGTAGGGAATGCACACTCATGAAAACAGACGCACACACTCACTCTTACACACACATTATACCTCCCTGGTAATTAACAGTATTAATTACTAGCATAGCCGTCCCTGTGAGGCTCTGTATCACTCACAGACGGCACGCAGTGGGGTTCTTATTACTTTATCTCACCACAGCATTGCCTCCTCTGTCTCCCTCTCCTAGTCTCTGGTTACACAAACTCTCTGACACACACCTGCTGGATAAACAAATGCTAGGTAATTAGTCGGAGAGTGATTGCTGGCCGTGGGTTAAAATCTAGTTGCTTAGGATGTGAAGGAGATATGTTTACAAAAAAAAAGCAGGTCATTAAGCCGTTATGTAAAGAGCCAGAGTCTTTTTAACCACTGTAGCTTTTTTATCCATATTTTTGTTATGCTGATGCAGCCAAAGTTTCAAATTCTTTCTCATTTCTGTTGTATCAGCCACTTTTCTTTCATTGTGATACATGCAGCCCTCTAAGCAAACACGTTGGGGAAACTTTCTCAACATAATTGCTGAGCTGTGTACCATCAAAAGTAGACATCTTGCTCAAGAGTCTGCATGGCATAATTCCCATTCAGAGTTTGTTTTGCATACTGTTCTGAGTTGTTGTATCTCCACCGAAGTTAAAGTTGCCTGTCACCACCTTTGAGGATATTGTACAGTTAAATTCTAAGTGTCACAGTGCCTGCATGTTGAATTGTGGATGTAAGTGTGTAAGCCTCTCTGCCGAGGTAAATATACTGTATGTTATACTGAGTTTACAGCGAAAGTTAAGATTGCAGGTGTGTTTTGCACATCATTATACAGTGCAACTGCGGTCCTCCTAATATGACACTGAATATGTTCATATAGAGTTAAGAGTTCTTTATAACATCATGTCATGATATGAAATGGCTTAATAAGATTAAACTATTTAGCATCCTTTCTACTTACTGATATGGAGGTTTTAGAAATCTAATCATTAAGAAATAAAAAATAATGGGTAATTTTTTTAATTTAACTGTAACCTTAAAATACTTCAGCAATTATCTGGCTATTTAGAAAGAAGTATAAAAATAAAAGCTACCACTTGCTGAATGGAGAAGAAATTCATAATTTAACTTTATTGATCTCAAACTGGAGAAACTTACCTCTTCATTTAACCCATCCCTTTGGGGAGCATTAGGCTGCCATTGTGTGGCGCCCAGGGAGCACTGTGGGGTTAAGGGTTTTGCTCAGGAACCCAGAGTGCTCTAACCACTAGGCCAACACTCCCACTTCATTTGTGAACGTAGCCTTAGATTTGATTTACTCACAAGCCCTGGATGACGGTAGGGCTGGACAATATGGCCAAAACTTATATCACGATATATTCCTTGATTCCAGTTTATACAATATAATTCAGGTATCTATATAAACGATAGAGGAGCTGGCAGAAAAGCCTACAACAAAATTTTGTAAAAATTTCTTAACATCATTATGCCAAGTCCATGAAACTCCTCTAAGATCACATTGGAGAAAATAAGGATTTCTTTCTCCTAATGATTTTCTTTATAATTGTGTCCTATATTTTTCTGTGATTGACTGTGATCCATTTAAGAAGAAAAACACACTAAGCCTGTAAAATATGGCTGTGTCTGAATGTCCGCCTTAACCACTATATAGGGCACTATATAGTCAGTGTTGGGAAAGTTCTCTTTCTACGTGAACTAGTTCAAAGTTCAGTTCACACATTTTAAAATGAACTAGTTCAGTTCATAGTTCATAATTCAAAATTTTGAACTAAGTTCACAGTTCCAAAAAATGAACTAGTTCATAGATCTTCTTTTTTTTCATATATCGCTCAATTACACCATAGCCTACTTTAGAACCACAGACAGCAATTATTTTATCAGTTGTAACACTGAAACTGTGCGTCAGATTTCATCTTCATATCCAGTTTTGAATCCTGGTAGCTGGTGTTGCCAGATTGGGTGTTTTTCCCGCTACATATTAAGGCCTGTTTACGGTGTGATTTAGCCGGGGTTTCGCCTGGAGGGCTCTATAGAAATCTGGCAACCTAACGAACGAAGTTGAACTGAGAGAGTGTGCCGTTTACAGACACCAGAATGAACGAGTTCACAATAACGTTCATCAGGCAGTAATGCAGTACGTTCAGTTCACGTTCGCCCAAAATATGAACGAGTTCATGAACTTTCGTTCAATGAGCGCGTTCAGGCACAACACTGTCTTGCTGTCGCCTACGGTGGTTGCTACCTGAAAGTAGTGACAAATAACAAAGATAGCGCAGGCACCGTGTGGGGAGGCAGAGTTACATGACCAACAAGGTGTGAAAAGTGGTGATCATTTGTCCAAACGACCAGTTAACTGAGTTTACTACCACTTTAAAGTCCCCACTCTATATAGTGATTAAGGGATTTAAGGGTTAGGGTTGACATTCAGACACAAATCCTAATAATAAACTAGCTAAACAAACACCAGCTCTGAAACTACGGGGTTAAGTTCCCCAGTTAATTCCTCAAACATTACTTACTGTAGGGCGTTCTATTTATTTATTTTGAACATTCTACATGCTACAGTCAGATGCTAAAGTCTGAGCCATGTGTGAGGACGGCTGCTGGCTACAAGTAAATCAAACAGGGACGTTTTGTCATCCTAGGTGCCCAATTGTAGTTAAAATGTATTGTGTTGAAGCACAAGCTGCACTGCCTATAGTTGCAGAGCATGGGCTTCTTGTCTGTGGTGTATGTCATCGCACACCTAGCCAATGTGCTGCGGCTCTTTTGGCTTGAATTACAGTACCTGTTGCCCGACCATCAGTCACTGACATACACTGTAACCACAGACTGGAGCGTATATTGTAAATGTCTTTAAATGTGATATTGCCATCACTGAATAAAATTTGATTGCAATATATATATATATATATATATATATATATATATATATATATATTGAATTATTGTCCAGCCAAAAAAGAGTGTTTGAGAAAGGGAGAACTGTTTTTAATTTGACCAGCTAAACAACCAGGGGCTACCATGAGCTTCATTCATAAGTAGTTTTGTCCAAGCCCAAGTTAAGTCTCAAATCTTTTATGGACAAGTCACTTTGATTAATACCATTACTAGAAAATGCAACAAACATAAAAAGGTTGTAACTGACCATGAGAAACTTCCCTGGTCAATAAATGAGTCACTTTATCAGAGCTTTGTTTGTGGTTTGATCTCTCTAAATATTTTTTTGCAGGGAAATTTGAATGAAAAACAGACAATTACTAGTTCTTATAACTGGCATGTTTTGTTAAAGGTATAGTGTAGGATGTTCTTTTTCCAGGTGGATCATCATAATAAGTGGTCCTCCTAATTGTCAATCATTCTTGAGATATGTTCACATAAGGCCGTCCTACGTGTCCCTCCACATTTTGACTTACCGGTGGTGAATCTAACATAGTTGAAAAGTTGCAATTCTTCTTTTGGAAACTAAGCCCGTTTGAGTGATGCAAACAGCAACTTTTAAACAGAGCGTGCACGAGGAGAAATGGGCTTGTGTATATTCTCGCATGCGTTTAATATGTGTTCCGTCTCAGGAGCAGGCACAGGGTTGTGCATGAAGAGGGCGGTTCTTTTCAAAAATTCGCAAAATACCTTTAAGGAAAATACAACTTATGTACTGTACACTGTGTAACGTCACTGGGAGACGTTTTTTGAAGTCTTTTTTTTGTTGTTGTTCACAATTGTTCTGTGCTTCATATTCATGCCAAATCCTGTGCATCTACAACTAATACATTTTTTTTTTCTTTTTGTTTTTCAGTGGACGGCTGCACAGATTGGTCAGTGGATTACCTGAAGTACCAGGTGCTTCAAGGAGAGCCGGTGCGTCTGAAGTGTGCTCTGTTCTATGGTTACATCCGAGCCAACTACAGCCAGGCACAGAGTGTGGGCCTCAGCCTCATGTGGTACCGGAGCTCTGGCCTCGGACACAGCGACTTTGAGGAGCCAATCTCTTTTGATGGTGTGCGCATGAGCAAAGAGGAGGACGCCATCTGGTTCAGACCTGCTGACCTTCAAGATGTGGGCCTTTACTCATGTGTTTTAAGGTAGGACTTCCAAGTGGAAATTCTTAAAAATGTGCTAATTTGTGTAAAATTTAAGAGATTAATTAATTACTGCTTTCTGATGAAAAATGTTAAATAATCTTTGGTTATTTAACAAAAGCATAAAGATTAGAACTTTGAAATTATTAGACTGAAGGCAAGCCCAAGAACATGTCTACCAGATAAATGGCATAAAGGTATTTCTGATAACTTGTTTTAAAAAAAGCATTAGGTCACCTAACCAATCCATTTGTCCTCAGAATATTACATTTCTGAGGGACATTATTTACTTTCAATAATATTTTTAGTGTAGAAAATTGTGTTAAAAGTTTGGAATATCGTTGCTAATAACCTGTGTTATTAAGCCTAAGCAAAGAGTTTTAGATTAAGTCAGCCTTTAAAAGAACACAAAAAAATGATAAAATTTCTAATTATTAAAAAAAAGTTGCAATATTGTTTCAATAAAACATTACACGTCTGATGCTCAGGAAGTCAGCATGTATAAAACCACTGCAAAGCAATGATTGATCTATTATTGATCTTGATTGATCTGCAAAGCAATGATTGATCTTTCAGAAAAAACATTTGTTATTTTTATTTTTGTGTGTATATATATATATATATATATATATATATATATATATATATATATATATATATTTTTTTTTTTTTTTTTTTTTTTTTTTTTTTTTTTTTTTTGCACTTGAGATACTTAAGTCCAATATATGTAAAGTCCAATATAAATTACATTAATCATTTTTGCAATTATTAATGTTAAATCATTATTACCATTATTACCTCTAACTCTTTGACTGCTAACAGCATATTAGCAATTTGCCCTTACAATGGGGCCAAAAAAAGTGAATGAAAAAATGAGAAAGAAAAATACACTAGGATATCAAAATGTAGGATTTTTAAAGGATTTATTTGTAAATTCTGGTAGAAAATAACTATATTGTCAATAACAAAAGTTCAACACAATACTTTGTGGCATAACCTTTGTTGTCATGGCAGAGATTACATTGTTTAACAGGTCTACACACTCTGTAGCTGATTTTTGTCCCATTACTCCATGAAGATCCGTCTGGACAACACAAATTTTTAACTCCTTGCAGAAGTTTTTTATTGGGTTGATGTCTGGAAACTGAATGTGTCATTGCAATTGTTTTGTTTTTTTTTCCAGTAAAGTTCCTTTGAAATTGTTAATGATTGGTGTGTATAATAATTTTTTTGTATTTTGTATATATTTTTTTTAGTGTAAAATGTCTTAGAAGAGAACAATAATTTAAGGTTCACTGTTTTTGTGCCATTTTAGTGAAATAAGCTCAAGCAGAAAGTGAAATTGTTTGTGCTAATTGGGCAATTATGAGCAAAATTAAAAGTGTTTGTCGTTTTTATTAAAACTTGATAGTTTTTCAACAGTTTTTGTTTTAATCAGGTTGGAAGTTAAGTTTTCAATCCATCTTTTGGCTAAACCAGCCAAAATAATTTGGCAGTGTTCTTACACAGTCTATATTTGTACAAGGAGAAACCAATATAAATTAGTCACAATAGCCAAAATACTTGTTAAGTATTATCGCAACTTTCAAAGGTCTTGCTCGAACTAACAACCTCTTACAGCTGACGCTACAAGCAATGGTAACTGCTCATCAAAAAGCAATACTACTTAACACTAATGTGACTACTTTAACCAGTGGCTTGCTCAGATTTTCATCATTGCCTTGTTGGATCTAACAAAAATAGTTTTAACTAACTTGATTGGTTGTTTTTCCAACCGATCTATTCTTAGAATATATCCAAGCTCTATCCAACTAACAGCAACTCTCATACAAACTCCCACATCTTGACTGAGTAATGAGGCTGTTTAAATGCCTCTCGAAGTTCTTGCGCGGTCTGAACCACTTCCTGAAGCGGTCACATGGTATCACGGTAAAGAGATCTGAGTCAGGTATAGAGACCTGAAAATATTTTAAATGTGAGTCTAACTATTGCAATTTAAATGAGGATATTGACACATCTTAAATGTATTTATTTTACTTCTTTGTTTTAGGTTTTATATGCACTCTATAAGAAATGATGAGGTGAATATCTGAAGTCAAAACAGAAAGTGCTCCTGATACACGAATACTATTGTTTTCACTAACCAAATGTGTTTTGCAGAAAATCAAATTGCATTTCTGTTCACAAGACCTTTGCTTGAACAATTAACTACTTTAAACGCTCCTTACAAATTTTACAGGTGTTATCTAAAAATACATTTGTTGAAAAGCTGACTGTTATCTTGGACTCTTATGAGTTTTTTTTTTTTACCTTGTTTTATGGTAGTAACCTAACATCGTCTGTTGTCACTAACTTTAAAATACAGCTCTGTAAAGATCTTCTTTTGCAAATTTATGTACTGACAAGACATAATTTTTTTTTTTAGGTTTCCAAATGATAAAACTACAACACTTCTATACTTTTATATTTAATGGGCTGTGTAAGCTAAGTTAAATATGCCTTTAATTATTGATGTTTTCTTTTAAAAATATGCACCCTTATTCAAATGTTAGGTTGGAAGAGCAGGAAATATTATAATTCTGTGCATTGCTGCACTTTTAAAAAGTGTCTACCGCTCTGTGTTTTTCCATCTGTTTTTGATGAGCTAGAGGGATTCCTCTTAGATAACCTTATCAGAGCACTGTGAGACATTTGCCTCTCAGCTGAAATAAATTACTCTGTTTGAGAACCATTTAAGAAAACATGGAGGCAAATATGTAAAACCTGTCCCTGAAAACTGCAAACAGTAGACACATTTTAGACCAAGTGTTTCATACACCACAGATCTTCCCATTGTTAACCAGTGAACACTTCTGTAATTTTTATCATAGGCTACAACAGCAAGATAAAGGAAAGAAAACGTCCAGAAAATCACACTTGTAATGTTAAAAATGGATGATTTTGAACTTTTCATAAAAAAGTATTTGATCACAGAATGAACAGCAAAAATTCCTGGTCTAACAGATGTGTAAGTTTGTCATTAGAAATAAGCATAATATTAATAATAAGCATTTAATTGATTTGATATATTTTTTTGCCTGACGCTGCAGCAAGACCACAGTAAATATAGAGAAAAATAAAATTGCAATTTTAAAATAGTTAACTAAAGACAGCTACTGTATATTTGCTTAAAAAACTATCTACATTTAGACATCTATTATATTTGTGTGTATAATAGAAATGCATATATCACTGCAGGTAATTAAAAGATAACAAATAAACATTAAATACATCAAGATAAGCAACAAACCTAGTTCCTCTCCCCTCAATATACTCAACCATTACTCCTAAATATTTCTTGATGCCAAAAAAATTTAAAGTGGAAACAGTTTTTAGCTGTTATAAAGTCATAGGAGTTGTTTTGGTTTCACTTCCAGGTTTGTTGGGGACTTTTATTGCATGACCTTGGCAGGCTCCTTATAGCTCCTCTTTGCTTCGCACTGCAGAGCCGGGGGAAGTGTTATTTTAGGGTTACTTGTATAAATCACATTGTTTCACTCACTCCATCAATCAGAATCCATGTGTCTACAAAGGGAGAACACAGAGATGTTGAAGGAAAGTATGGACAAAATTTGAGGTACTAACAAGACTAAGATACAGGGCAATGGGCATCCAGCTTGATGAGACAAACAACAATTAATGGAAGAAACTTAACATGACCGTCAAAGTCAATGTATGATCTCCTTGCTAGATTCCACATTGCAGATAATCAATGTTCAAGAGAAAGGTGAGGGTTTAACCAAAAAACACACAGAAACCCTGTTGCTATACTCATAAAGAATCCTGAAATTAAAAGAAGCTCTTAGTGGTGTCATTGTAGGAAAATAGAATTTCTTAGATTCTAAGAATTTTCTTAAATTTTATCTCAGTAGGATAAGAACCTCAGGCCTTAAGAGAACTCCTAAAGTGAAATGCCCGGACTGGCAATCCTCTTTTTCCTAAGGAGAGAAGATGACAGAAACAGAGACCAGATTGCGTATTCCATCACATTAACAGTGGAGGAAATGAACACATAGACTTCTTGAAAATACAATTATTAATAAGGAGATGATGCTAGTTTCTACAGAGCCCTTTGCAGCTGTTGAAGAATGAAGTTCTGTACTTTGGTCCAGCTACAATAGCACCAGTGTATTTGTCTCAGAGCTGAAGCCTTGTAGAGTTAGAGCCTGCAGCAATGGATACTAAAAGAAGTTATGTGATTCAACCACTAGGTCCAGTGTGTCAATAGAAGTAGTTCAATAGAAAAAGCTCTGGTAGGCCTTTATGCCATAGAGTTGCAAAAATACTATCACCTGACCTCAGATAAATCAACACGAAAACCTATTACATGTTTTGCATCATAACCATACAATTCCATTTATGGTTTAACCTTGTTTGCCCTCCAATTTCTATTTTGTTCATACAAGATGGCTTGTAGATTTGTGAATGGAATGGATCCTAGAGTATTTTTAGGTGCAGAATTCTTTTCGGTCAGTAGGTGTTGAGAAAGACAAAGAAAACCATTTCTAGCAACAATGTTATCAAGTTTAAATGTGAGCTTTGTTGGAATTAGGTTTTGCAAATGACCAATAGAATTTGGTCTCACTGCTCCTTTAAAGACAAAATGGGATGGAAATTGGTGACTGGCAGGGATTGAATAGTTCCAAAATGCAAAAAAAAAAAAAAGTATGAGAGCAATGCATTTTAAAGCACTGGGATCAGAGTTAGATTTGCTTGGATAGCAATGATGGAATTCCCATTGGATCATTGTGGGGATGACCAAACTGTAAATGAGGTATGTAGAAAAGACAAGGAAGGTAAAAACGTAGAAAAGGCGGGAACCAAAACACCAACAACGGAAGACAGATTTAGAGAATTCATCTTTTATATCAAACCTTCATGAAAAATTCTTTAGATAGCCTTGCAAAGTCATATCCCGTCTTATTTTTATTGACAGTTTGTATGTTTTTACAATATAGTTTTTT